AAATGGGGTTGCCCCGTTGTCCAATATCTATCTCTCTGTATGGGTGATATGCTTTTGATTGTTCTTTTTTCTTGTTTGTTTGGGTAAACCAGCTGTTTTTTTCTTCTGCCACCATTGTTTACTTGACTCCTTCTCTGGTATTTGTAGTTGTATCTTTCTTTATATTATTGCTACTGGCAGTATTAGTTGTACTGCCTAAGTTTTGGCCTACTGTTTGGAGCAACTCCTTGTTCTCTGCATCTGTATAGCTTGTTTTCCAGATTTCAGTTAAGTTTTCTTCTTCTTCGGTAGCTGAAGTTTTTGCTTTTTTACTTTTTTGGTTGAGTTCTATTTCGTCTACACTAGACTTTTCTATACTATCTTGCTTATATTTCTTGTATATGTGGGCCTTAGCTCTAAAGTACTTTTTTTTGGATAGAAAGAGGTGAGTTTTGTATAGTAATTTTGTTGTCGACGGAGTTCAGTTCTCAGCCAATTTTTCAAAAAATCAACTTAACAATGACTTTTACAATAGCCAGCCTTTTTCATCTATTTATCATTCAACAGAGTTGTACTATGTCCTTTTGAATGAATTTTTCAGGAACAAACCTATATTATACCTATATACAGATAGTGGCCCTGATCATCATTGTACATTTATACATATCCAACTTTCATATATCTGTTTAGACCTTGACTATTTCATAGCTATTAGAACTCCTCCACAGCATTCTTGGAAAAATCCAGTCAAACATATAATTTTAATTTTAAATTTAGAGTTACAATGTGTAGGTTTAATGTGAAACCAAATGGATGATCAGTCAGAAAAGTTAATAAGTAAGGCCAACACTATGAGCGAAATACAAAAAATTGCTAAAAAAAACCCTACCTTGAAAACTTATTTAATTGAAAGTTTACAATAGCTAATTCAACTGATTCGTAATATTTTTGAACATCAAAGCTTAAAGGAAGTGCTATTTGAAACTAGTGATTTGAATCGGTTGGCCTATAATCAGTTAATCGACCCGAACCGAATAATTTCGGTTAACCGATTGAGGAAATTCTTAATCGGTTGACCCGATACATCCAGTTGAAATTTGGGTAATCGGTTGAGGAGAGAGTCAATGTTCCGAAAAGTTCCGAAAAGAGAATGAATGGACATGAAAGATAAGCAATTTCGAAGATAAAATGAAAAATAATCTTAGCCGGTTGACAACCGGTTGAATAAAATAATTCGGTTCGGATAACCGATTAAAGAAATTTTTCTCGGTTCAAATCACTATTTGAAACCTATAATGCAGCAACCGATGAAAAAATAGAAAGTTTCTAGAAAACTATTCATATTATAGATGATAGTATAACACAAAAAGATCGTATTATGGAATATATCAAAAAAAGGTAATAAATATAATATAATAGTATTAATCAGAATAAAGCTAAATAATATTATTTATCTTTTATTAAGTTAAAATTAAAAGAATTTATAGATCACCATTGTACCATATGACATTATTTCTTTACAATAAAAAAATGTAGTAAAAACTCTTTCTGGTTCACAACCGGTAAAACAAAAAACAAAGATTTTACTAGAAAAAACACTAGCACCCTTACAAACTCTGACAGGGCAGAAGCCCTCAATATTAAGAAACACAAACTAGAAACTGCAACCATGAGCAAGTCGTATGCAAACAAGAAAACTAAGCTGGACTCAGACAAAAACAAAATTTTTTCCTTTCAGAAAACAACAAAACAAAGACCAATACAACCTCTATGGTAGAGCCTGTAGTTAACAAGTTTACAAGTTTTGAACTTGAGGACAGCACTGCAAGTTGGGCAAACCAAGTAGAAAATGAGCAAAAATATCAAACAGAAACTCTCAAAACTCCTTTGACCTCAAGAGAAACATGTAACAACAATGAAAACTTGGAAAACAACAAGCATACAAAAGACACAAAATACGTGTCGAATGATGAAAACAACAAACAGGCACCTGATAACAAGCACGTGTCTGACAACAAACATGTGCCGAAGGATAACCAACCAGGGCCCTCCTCTGCAGGTACTCCAAATGACACACTAACCAAACAACCCACAGGTCTCAAAAGGGAAACAAAACAATGAGGACAAACCAAAACAGTGGGCAGACCTCTTTTCCAAATTGAAGGGAGAAAAAGCAATCTTCTCAAACTCCTCTTCAAGACAAAAAATATATTTCAAGAATGAGAATACTCTGATCCTGGACATCCATAACCTAATCAATATATATAATCACAGCTCTAGCCATGAGTATTGGGGAAGACTTGCTAGCAGCCAAAACTCATATGTCTAGAGAGAAAAGATCAGCTCTTGAGGTGGTCCTCAAAAGCAAAAAAAAGGTTTAACTATATGCAGCAAAAGGCATCACATTATTCAAACAAACACTCTTTGACCATATTTCAGTCAATTTAAGATGCACATTCCTTACAGTAAAACTAAGAAATACCCCAATGAGAGATACAAAACAAATAAGTGATCTTATTCTAGATGCCTTCCAAGACCTAGGCCAAGTAGCCTCAATCAAACCGCTACTTTTCAAAGGAACCACTATCTGCTCAGATCAATGGCTGATTACCTTTGAAACTATTGACAATCCAGATTTAACCAAAAGAATCCCAAGAACTACACATATTGGAGATCATAAAATAACTACAGAATAGAAAGAAGCTCCAAAAATTTGCTATTACTGTAAAAAGGAAGGTCATATTAAAAAAGACTATGAAAAGTTAAAGGCCTCTATAGAGGCAAGAGTCATGCTAAAGATAGCCAAACTACATCGAGAAAAGGTTAAAAACCAGAAATTAGCTACTCCAGAACCTATTATTAGTCAAAACAACCCCTATCTTGACTGCCCAGCAGAGTGGGCCCAAGTAGAAAAATCTCCTGACTCCACTCCCGAATCAACAACAGACAACTCACCTCAAGACAAAGAAGAAATTATACAAGAGCTACCATCTGCAAACAATACAATAGCAGAACAATGCTTCAAAATGGAAACTGAACCACTCAATATTTGGGACCAGGCCAATACAGAACAACAAGCCAAAGAGGATACTCCTTTCATATTGGTCATCTCTAAAAAACAAAGAGCAAAAAACAAGAAAAAAGAACAATCAAAAGCATATCACCCATACAGAGAGATAGATATTGGACAACGGGGCAACCCCATTT